CAGGGTATCAGAGGCCTTAATTTAAAGCGGAAAAATGGCGGCCATTTTGAATGCGTAATTTGGAGGTGTTCCCCCAAAGGGATTTTGGGTAATTTTGAGTTCTGAACTTCTCAAGACCTATATTTTCAGAAAATATCAAAATTAGCCGGTGGTACTTCCATTGCCACCTCGACGATTTTTTTTAATGAAAAGGGAAGTATTGTTAGCTGGATTTGTGAGGATCTGTGAATGAATATTAATGAGCTGAAGTGATATGCATATTAATTAGTTTAAAGTAAGTGCCATTCTGTGATAAGTCAATACTAATGAAGTGTGACCATATGTTAATGTCTTAACCAAAGAATGGGGTGTGTTAACTAAAGAAAGGGGGAAGGTAATCTCTAGGCAGTAGACTGGTACACCTCTTGGAGAGAGGATGTAAAGCATGTTATGGTATGTGGCCTGAGGAGCCAGAAATAGCAAATGGAGTGGAGGCTTGGTGTTATAACAGAAACTGGGAATTTAAGTGAGTAATGATTAAGTAACTTAGAATTGTACTTATCTGAGTTCAAATTAACAATGATAATTAAACGATAATTATTACTGTAAATATTACTGATTATATTGCATGGTATATTGAGCCCAGATGGGTTTTACATTTTTCAGTTCCCGACTGACTGGGGACCAGGATATAGGCAATGGTCGTGCAATGTATAGTGAAGCAACCAAAGTGGTTTATTGAGATGGTACTGGCGTTACATAATATAAAGTGCTCAGGAACTGATATATTTGATTTCAACTTGTAAAGGCAAGCCTAAGCTGAGCTGATTTGATTTCGCATATACAATTGGACGCTGTCTCGTACTGTTCTCTTCATTATCTCTTTTATTTTAGAAAAAAAATGAACATTTTAATTTATGACTGCAATTTAATTAAACTTGTTGAAATCTTTACATTATATCTTGATTTGTGTTTAGTTTGTCATGTGTACATACTTAACTGTTTCCTTTCTTTGAACGCATGCATTATATCTACAGCATGCATTACATCTACAGCGCGTATGACAAGCAGTTAGACTAATAACAAATTCACCCCGAGATACTAGATCACGTCCTTTATTTAAACAATTTAATTTGATATAAATAAGGTACAGGCAGTTTTTATATCTAAATATTACCTCCGACAATTACCCCGTCCCTTAAATTTGTAATGGTAATACAAAAAGTAAACGGGTAAAAAAAAAATGTATATACCCTTTTTAAGACTGACATCCAGTCACAGATCTATTTTCATTCACAGACCAAATAACCGGAATGAGCTATATGATAGTCTTTTTAAACTAAGTTCGTTAATTTCGGTAAAAAATAAATTAACAGAGATGCTGTTAGATACTTATTAAAGAAAACTTTCTTACATTTCTTTAAATCATTCATCAAATTTATCATTTTTAACAATTTATCTTGAGAGTCGTCCATGATTGTTGGGACCTTCTGAGGCAGTAAGCTGTCGGGGATGTCATGGTGTCTGATGTCATGGTGTCATTTCCGGACTATATTTGTTAATTTCAATACCCCACCCACTCATCCGCCGACAGAAAATTACTGGATCACCGTGCAACTGCCCAATGTTGCAATTGGTCAAAACCTAGGGCTGAAACACGTTGATGACCTAATGCAGCTGTGTTAGTCCCAGTGGCGTAACGACTATGAGCTCTTCACTGGTAAAAGTCAGGGGACCCGGAGCCTCAAGGGGCCCCAAGCAAATTAAGATTTTTTTTACAAGCAAATAACAAGGCCTTTTATATTATAAAAAAAAATTAAGACCAACAACCACGTGAAACATGAAATTAAATCATGAGCAAATGCATTATGCCCATAAATATTTATTAACTTTAATTTGCTCGTTTTGTTTGGTATTTATTGTAATATGTTTATTAGTGATATGTTTATTTTGGGTCAACTCACGTTACATAAACTTAGAACTCAAATGTGTAAAAAAGGCTTTAAAATATTTCATAGAAAGCTAAAAACGCCGGAGCGACCTGGGCCTTCACCCCAAACCCCTACCGGATCCCCCTTCGCGTCCCCTACCCCCACCGTCTGGGCCCTAAAGGGCCCTTTTCCCAGGGTCCTCCAGACCCTTTGTTACGCCACTGTTAGTACTGCAGATATTTATTAAAGGCAGTTATTACTCCAAGTGGCAAACCTATTGTATTTTTGAATTGTTTTGTATTGATCTTCCCTGGAGTAGTTATAGCATTGATAACAAACTACACTTTGTTCAGGTCGGGTGTTATATATCAGTAGAGTATTTGTATAGCGCACTCTGTTCTCAGTTTATGAACATGGCGTAAAGCCTCACATTGAAGCCACCATACCACAGTGAAATAAAGTATTGATCGACAAAAAAAAATATTTATTTCGGAATTTTCTATTTGCTCGCAGGGAGACCTTTGATTGTATTCTACTTTGTCAAAACACCAACAGGAGAATACATAAGATGTGTTTTGATTTAGGTCGGCAATGCGTTTAAATTAAGTCGCGTACAGTAGGCCTATTTTGATCGACATTCCTCTGTTCGACTTCGACAGTAGTGATGTATAAACCCTGCTACAATCTGCTACGAAAACATATCCCAGGAGCTGGAGCTCGCTAGTGGGCTGGGTATGAAAGATTCACCCCGACCAAAACGCACACAAACGGTATATGTCTCACTTTATTGTAAGCAGAAATTTAATAAGGTAAGATTGTCAGTGGTTAGTTATTTTAAACCGGATATTTCCATGTTTGTGTGACAGGTAAACTGTCAGGCAGGCAGTGGTGGTGCCAAGGGAATTCGCCTTCCCCGTCTGACAGGCATGGACACCCTATCGTCTGACGCCACAAATGTCGTCGGCTCAAGAAAAAATTAAAAATATATAATTTGCCTATCCAAATAACGGTATTTTTATTGGCAGTCCCTATTTGTGGTATAAAAGTACAATTTAGACAATGTTAAGCCATAAAACTCTCCCCGTGAACCCTACCAATGATTTATTGGACCGAGGCTCCAGTCGTCCCTTGGTTCAGAAATGATAACTCATTTCATGTATAAAAGGGGCCTATCTTGTAGTTGTAGGCAACCCGCTATTTGTTTGGGTTTTAGATTGTTTCACTATACGGATACAATTTGTTGTTTTGCCATAATTCCCGGTGCTTATGTCATGGCTGTTCTTTTTATGATTAGTACAAAAGAATCACAATGGTATACATGTTGCTTAAAGGCAGTATTCTCATAGTCCGTACAGCTATGAATTTATTGTGTAGAACTCTATTGAATTGTGGCGTCGTTTCTAGGATAAGGAATAGAAAGATGTATCAGAAAATAATGATATATTTTAACGTTATACAGTAGTATCATTCCATCTAATGCCCAATTTGTACCCAATCCCTTCAACCTCCATGTAATTAACAAGTATATTCGCGAGCCTGAGCTTAAAGGAGGAAGTTCCAAAAAAAAGTGGCTACGCCCACTTTTTGTCATTAAATGTGTTATTAGATATATACATGTTATTATAGAGATGGATATAGGAAATTTTTAATTTGAAAAAGTGCATAAATTAATTATCAAATTATCTAGCATCTTGGGCTAACACATTATGTCAGATTAGTACGGTGAGCGATCAGGATTAAAGTATTATAAAGGAGGATTAAAATCAGCATCGAAACTGACGAAATGGATTTAATCGACAAGTTAAAACGACTGTACCAACAATAGAAATAATATCAACATCAAAGTAAAAGCTGTGTTACCTCAGCAGTGGCGTATAGGGAGTGCGCGGTGAAGTATCTAAAAATTATCTTAAATCACCTTATTTTGAGAATTAACGCTACTTAACTGATCATC